GCATGTTCTACAAAAAATGTGCTTTGTTTTGTATCTGACAGACAAACACCAAACCAGTTCCACATCACTGATCTTGCACCATTTTTACAAACCAAAGTCTGGTTCATCCGTTTCACTCAACAATCTGCCATGTGCGCATGAAAACAAAGGCACTGCGCATGCGCGTTTAACCCATATTCTATTGCATATTTCATTTTCTTATTGTTGCCTAACATTGTACCGGTATTGCCATGAACAGTATAATATGGCCCAGCCCTACCTACAGACACTTTGTAACCTACAGCAGCCAGACAACAGGACTGAAAATATATGACAGAAAGCTATGGCTTATTGAGGTTTAACCTGTATACGCTAAAGTCATAATAATGTTGAAAATATCTTGTAAAAATGATAAAAAAAATGTTAAAAAAAAAAGAATTCTTACTACATAAAAAAAGTAAACTGGGACTCTTAGTATTTTTATGTTAAGGAACAGGAAAAGTAACTAAGTAAAAAATAAAAAATCCAAAACATGGAATTCATGGATAGCACCTCATTATAACACACATTAGTTAAACATTTGGATGTATATTTATCTGTTCTTTGCTAAGCTGTAACCTAGCTTAGCTTAGCACAAAGCCTAATAATGGGGGGAATTAGCTAGCACTTCTATTGAAAACTAATCAAATCCACATGCCAGTACTTCTCTTGCTAACTGGCAAACAATGAATTTTAGAAGTGGCATAAAGTGGTGTAACCTACCCACTGGACAGAGACGGACTCATTTTTACTGCCCGTTTTTGAGTATTTATGCTAAACTAAGAAAATTAGCTAGCTAGCTGAAGATACAGATGAACTTTTCTACCTGTATGCACGAAAGTAACTAATTTCACTGACATTGGATTTGCTTTATATTTTTCTTATTATCACCAGAATATCATAGAAAGACCAGAACTACGTATAAGGAAACATACATGTCGGTGCCACAAAGACTATAGACAATAGAGATAATGTCACTCCATTCTTTATAAAACTAGAGATATCGATATTGTAGTATTGCAATAAATAAATATTGCGACATTTGATTCACAGCTTATTTCTTTGCTAGAACAAGTGGACAAGAATCACAAGTAAGAGTAGTTTTGTTTGTTCTATTATTTTCAAACTAATAATAGTAATAATACACATTTGGTGCTTTAGTGAAATAGTTTGGGGGGGTTTTCTGGGGGGTTTTGGATTGCATCTCCTTACACTAAAGCTGCTGAAAAAAATGGGCTTGTTGAAATCTCAGGGGGTTTTAAGTTATCCACAGAAGGATATGGTAGCTAATCCATCACAGAGCTAAAACATATAGACATACTAGAGCTGGGCGATATATCGAGTTTTTAAAAAATATCGATATATTTTTATACGAGATATAAGATGTGACAATATCCTTTATATCGATATAGTCT